GTAAAAACTGCAGACGAGCTGTTTTTCTGGAATTGCAGCAGGCTATTGTTTAGGACATTAGCTCTTTTTTTTAAACTTTACAAGCTTATTTGATGCATGACAAAAGAAAGTGCACTGTATTCAGTCTCCAGGGCCTCAATCACACTGCTTCTCTCCTCTGCTGCCCTGCCCCAAATGTGTATATGGTGCTGGAGCCTCAGGGCATGGCAGGTGTCACTGAAACCTGGCTCTTTCTCCAGATGAAGAGCATTCCTGTTTTGTGGGGACATCCAGGCAGAAAGGTGGACTTCCAGCCAGTGTAGTAGTTGGTGGATGCAGCAGGAGGTCTTAATGGCTTGCCATCCTTCAGATGACCCTCTGAAGGTCTAGCTCAGACAAGTCCTGGACTCTTCAAAGTAGGCTTTTTTCAGCCCTGCAGTGAGTTTCTAAAGGCTGGAACACATCTCCAGAGCATTACTTCTCAAAATGGGTATGCTCTCCTGACCCTGGGGCTGTGGCTGGGTGGTGTCAAACTGCCTGCACAGAGTCTGTGGGTGCCAGACGCAGCTGGCCGCTCAAGGACTGGGCTGGCACACTGCTCCTGCAACAGGACTTCCTTGGCCCACTCTGTGTCTCCAGGGCCATGTGGCAAATGTTGTTCTCAGCCATGGGGGAGCTCCCATTGATGTTCGGAGAAAACTTGAATGGAAGGACCTGGGCAGCTGCTGGATAAGAGGTTTTTGCTCTGGGCAAGACTCAGTTTCTGGATAATTTGATGAAACTGATGCACCAGGGAGTCAAGGGTGTCAGCACTGATCTCATATGCTGGTGGCTGGGTGGTCTCCCACAGAGCTGAGCTGAAGCATTTTGTTCAAAGGGCAGCATGGAGGTAGCTGAGGTTCTGGTTAACTCTGCCTATCCAGCATAAAATCAGTGGATGCTCCATGTGAAATATCTGGATGTGGCTCTTGGTGCTCTGGTCTAGTTGGCAAAGTGGTGATTGGTCAAAGGTTGAACTCTATATTGGAGGTCTTTTCCAGCCTAAATGATCCTGTTGCTCTTAAGGTGTTATCCAAGGCAATAAGCTGTCATTTGTCATCAGCATAGTGGTTATTTTCCCAGAGCCCTTCTTTCCCTGAGCTGCCAGCACCAGAAAATCCTTGGGGCTCATCTTTATATTCATCTCTTACAGAATGGGCATGGGCAAAGCTGCTAGGAAGGTGTACATATCAAATGGCTGCAAATTACAGTGTACAGGGAAGAACTGTGTGCTCCAGGGTCCTGGGCAGGTGCTTAAATTGCATGTCTTAACTGGTGGATGGAATAGTAAAAGCTGTTCTTAGTGCTTGGATTGGACATTTGCTGTTGGGACACTTTCCCAAAGTGTGGTCTGAGCTGCAGCTTATGCTGGTGGAGTGATCTGCTTGTTAGGCTAAACTCACATTCAGTGTAGTAGTTCAATGGTTGGTAGTGGGATTTAAAGGATAATTTGAGGTCTACAGGTAGAGATGACCTCAAGAGTTGAAACCACCACTGTGGGCTCATGGTAGCTGCTTTTTTCTGTCAAGTGTCTGGCTCAGGTATGATGGGTCTGAGAGTCTTGAGTATGCTCCCCTGGGCTTCTTTAGGGGTGCTGGGTTGATGCAGGAACAATGATGTATCCAAACAGCAGTTACTAGGGAAAGTTCAGCTAAGGAAGAGGAGTAGTTTGAAAAATGCTCCTTCTCCAGGGAGTGGCCTGTGTGGCCAGGGCCTGGCAGTGCTGTGTGGTGTCATGGCTGTTCCACAGAGCTCAGACGTGCCAGTGCTGGGCTGGCATGCCCGGAGACGGAGCGGCGTGTGCTGCCTCTGCGTCAGGCATTAGAGCTGCAGCAGCGAGTCAAAAGTCAGTGCCCAGATTCTATTAAAAGCTCCTTTTCTGCTGTCCCCTGTGGAGAAGCATTGCCATGTGCTGCCTCCCTTGCTGCATTGAGCAGAGGCAGGAGAAGCTCCAGAAGCTCTTGGCGTGTGAGTGGTGAGTGGCTGTCATGGTGACCCCCCCGAGTTAGTTTCCCCTCTAGGTGTGAAAAATACTACTTTGCACTCATGTTTGTACCCTGAGTAGTTCCATGATACTTGCTTTTTCACTTTGAGACTTGAAGGGATGCTCTTAACTCCAGGATTTGCTGATGCATCTTGCATGTGTGTTGGAATGATTTTTCCCTTATGTGAGCTGTCTGCTTGGAAGGGGAGACAAGACCCAACTCCCCATGAAGAGGTGTGGCCCCAATGCCTTGAAGGCTTTTTTTAGGTGGGCAGCCTGTGTTGGGTGCTTGTGCCCCGTTCCTCAGGAGGGGTTTAGTGGGTTGGAACAGGCAGTTGGATCAGGATGCCTTTGGGATAAGAGTGCTGAGGAATAAGATCTGGGTGTCTCATGCAGGTGTTTCCTAGGCTACCTGCACAGCTTGGCACTGGGGCACACAGCCTGGTCACTGAGCAAGGATAAAAGAGGAAATGCTGAGTTTGACTCATGGCTTTTCCTCCCCATGTCCCTGTGAGTGGCTGTGGGTACCAGGTGAAGCTGAGTCAGGCCCACTGGGGTGATGTGGGGTCTCTCACGAGCTCGGTTTTCCTGCAGAGTGTGTAATCAAGTGCTGCCAGTGCAGAGCTGTCAAAGCTGCTGGACTGGATGGAATCCATCTGTGTTAACAGCAGGATGTCAGCACTTCCAGGACATGAGGTTAGGAGTGGGGCAGTTGAAGCTGGCAGGGTTTTGTGTGGTGGTAAATGCCCAGACAGTAGATCCTTTTAATGGCCAGTAATCCTACCACTTCAGTGTGCTATGCTGGCCTTACTGGTTTTGTAGCTGCTGCAAGAGCTGAGAAATCATGGGAGAGATGTGTATGCGGTGGCAGAGGTGAGGGTGACATAAATGGGGCAGAGCAGCTGGACCCTGTAATGCCACTGGGAGCTCCTGATGAGCCCCAGACACTTACTGTGGCATCCTAAATAGAGTGCTGGTTCTACATCTCCGCCTACCAGGAGATGTGGGGCAGGGCAGCATTATCTGGTAGCAGTCTGCGTGGCATTAGCTGCTCCAGGTCTCTGGAATGCTGTGCAGCTGGGGTCAGCACAGGGCTGCGGCGTTCCAAACCCACAGCCCTCACTGGCTGGGGAAGGAGGAGGGTGTCAGTGCGGGAGCATTTGTTGGCAGCAAGGTTGGGCTGTGGGATCAGCTGCTTTGCTTTGCCTCTTGTGCTGTTTAGTGACTAATCAGATTTTGGAGCCTGTCGGACAGATTCAGCTGTCTCCCCAGAACAATACGCCGGCTGTATTTTTAAACACATCACGTGGCTTCAGAGAAGTCAGCAGAGCAGCAAGTGCAGCTTGCCGGGGCTGGGAGATGCTGTGCCCTGCTCGGAGCTGTGACTAGGAGGGAGCATCTCCTCCCCAGCTGTGTCACATTCCCTCGCTCCTGGGGCTGCTGCTGCCCGGGCTCTGCCCAGGTAAGGACTGCTGGGCTTTTCCCGTGGCTGCAGGGCTGGGTGTGAGCACAGGTGCTGCCTGTCCAGGAGAGCAAAAGGCAGGAGGTCCCTTTCTCAGTGTGGTCAGAGGGGAGCTCCTAGTCCCATGATGTAGCCAAAATAGGGGAATCTTGCAGGGATGAGGCTCTGCAAATGTGTGAAGATGTGACTTGCTAGGATCTCTGCCTTGAGTTGAGGGAGATGCTTCAAGTAAAGGACCCACCTGTACCTATGTGAAGTCACTGTTGGGGTGGTGAGGTTTTTTTTCCCCAGGTATGGGGCTGGAGATGCAAGCTTCCACGGCAGGTGTGTCACTGGATAATGCAGCTGGGGATAGGTACATCCCAGCATCTTGCCTCAGTCGTGCTCAGCAGCTCTCCCTGGTGCTGTCACTGTGCTGTCCTGTTATCTGACCATAGTGTGCTCGAGCATGATGGTTATGTTACTCTCCTGGTTTGGCTGGTGGTTTGGATTATTAATCCTCATCTGCATAGGAGCTGCTGAAAATCTAGGTTAAGACCTCGTGGTTCAGCTTGCTGAGATCAGGGGGGCTTGGAGGATCCTGAGTGGATCCCAGATTTGCTTTGCTGAAAACTGAAAGCTTCAGGGCAAGCTGCCCTGTTTTGCAGCCTGTGAATAATTAAAACCATTTCTGAATGCTTTGCTCTTTTCACTTGGTTTGGGTATGCGTTCGGCTTGCTGAGACTTGCTCTTTCTGAATAGACTGGCTGGTAGTGTGCCCCTGTGGGATCCCTTGCCCTACATTCCCTCTCCTTGTGGGTGGCAGCTGCCCCCATATTGCTGACCAGGATGTGATTTTGTGACCTTTGGATGGCCTGGTCCTCTGCTCAGAAGCAGTTATCTTTGCAGGGAGGCATTTTCCTGGATTCTCCTCGGTGGGAGGAAAACCTGAAGTGTGAGGGAAGCAGTCTGACACATCCTTGTCTGCAGGCTCTGGGGCAGAGGCCTGACCAGACAGACTTGCTGTGAACACACACCAGGGACAGCCAAGCCTCTCTGTCAGCAGCCCAGGCTGGCACCTTCCTGGCTGCCCACAGCCAGCTCCTGGCAGGGATGGTGTGAGCAGTGTCCCACCTCTGAGCCTGAAAATTCCTGCTGGTGTGCCAGGTGTGCCTGCCACCAATGTGTGCCCCTACCCCTGGAGACTTGACCCTCCGAGTCCCAGCTTGCTCCAGGAGAAGTAGCATGGACTGGGCAGAGGGCCCTGTCCCAGAGCACTTCTGAGGTCTGTAATCTGGGATGCAGGATCTCTGAACTTCTCCCAGATGAAGTGGGTTCTCCTGGCCAATCTGTCTTCGTGTTTGTCAGCCACACCAGGCTGCTGTGGGTTCTGTGCAGCACCATGGCCCGACTGTTGGCAAACACCAGAGGTGCCACCTCCCAGACATGACATTTGTGGGCTGACAGGAGCCCGGTGGCCTCCTGGGCCACAGGAGCCAGGAGGAAGGAGCAGTGTTGTGCTGCAGCCCTGACAGGCTCTGTCCCTCTCTCTTGCAGTTCTCAGCATGCTGAGTAACCCTCTTGGGAACGTCCTGGGGAAGCCCCCGCTGGGTTTTCTGCCTTTAGACCCCATTGGTTCAGACCTGCCAGAAAAGTTTTCCACACCACCGCCGCTGAGGAACTCCCGCTCCCTCCTGGACTCGCGCTCCAGCAGCCCCTCGGACTCGGACACCAGTGGGTTCAGCTCTGGTTCTGACCACATCTCAGACTTGATTGTAAGTTTGGGTCCTGGGGTCTTGCTGGGGAGCACAGAACAGCTGAATGGAGCTGCCTGCCAGAGCCCTGGCTACTCAGGAGCATGAGGGAATGCTGTGAGGAGCTGTTCACACACTGGCACAGCCCAGGGTTTAGGAGAAAGGCTGCTCATATAGTCCTTCAGCATAAGCCAGCAGTATCCTCATTTTTTGTTTTTCTTCAAAGCTAATATTTTGGCCATTTGGGTCTGTGCTTGCAGCCCTACTGGGTTACAGTAGCTCCCAGAGGGGCTTGAGTGCTTGAGCTGGTTTGAGGCAGGGTGGTGTCTGTGCCCTGATCCCAGGAGGGAAGTGGCTGAACCAGCCTAGACTTCTGAGGAGCTACTGTCCTTGCCTTTCATTGCTCTTCCATTTGACTGCATTTCTCCATCTCAGAGCAGTTTCTGCTAGAGCAAACTGGGTCTGGCCTGCTCCCATTCCCTAAAGCACAGATAAATTTGAAAGGCAGGGAGCAAGTGAATGTCTGGCTGGCTGCCCCAGTCTGCTCTGATGGGTCTGTGGTGGGTGCAAGTGGCAGCTCTGGGTGCCAGCAGGGCAGCCTGGCTCCAGCCAGCTCTGGGATGCTGCTGCATGGCCTGGCCTTGGCATGGGAGGATAAAGTCAGGAGCTGCTCCAGGCTCTGCTGTGGTGTTGCCATGGCCTTGACCCCTGTGTTGAGGTGGGTTTGAAGGACAGACCTGGCTGGATGTGGGGTTGATTCTGCCATGATCCACCCTGGAGAATTGGGATGTGCCAAGTGACTGCAGCACCCAGGCAGTGCTGGTGGCAGGTGGTGCAGGGCTCTGTGCTGGCCTTGTTTGTGAAGGGCAGGACTGAGCACGGCCCTGGCGTGGGTGGCTGCCATGGCTGCACAGGGACAGCACAGCACAGCTGGCACTGAGCTGTGCAGCATCTTGCTTCCCTGCTGTCCCATTAATCTGAGCTTTCCCTCCTCCTGCCCTGGGAGGAGCTGTGGTGCATGGTGCCCACTCCTTGGTCAGGCAGCCCTGGAGCTGGGCTGTGAGGATGAGATGCAGCTGGTGCCTGCAGAGTCCATGAGCACTTCCAACAAGCCCTGCCCACTGTGGGCGCAGCACAGAGCCTCAGGCTAGTGCTCTCCAGGGGTGATGCTGTTCTTGAGGCTGTACAGCCTGGGGTAGCTGTTTGCTTGGTGGTCTCTGAAGTGCCTCCTGCTTAGTGATCCCTGGTGCTGATCATGGGCATGGGTTCAGTTGAGAATGGCCCAGGGCTTTCCTAGGGTGTCAGGATGTGTTGCAGTTGATGCTTTCTTGCCTCTGTGAGGCCTCAGAGGGTCTCAGGAAATCCCTGAGAGCTCTCACTCCTGCCATGGGCAAGGGCAGGGCCTCAGTGCGATGCCTCACCCCTGCTATTACATGCTCTTACTCAGAGCTGGGTTTCAGTATGGCCTTTCTCTTGCAGTCAAGCCTTCGCATATCCCCTCCTCTGCCCTTCTTGCCTCTCAGTGGGGTGTCAAGAGACCCCTTGAAGATGGGAGTGGGATCCCAGCTGGATCAAGATCAAGCTGCCCTGGCTGCAGTAACTTCCTCCCCGGCCAGTGCATCGAAAAGATGGCCTGGAGCATCTGCGTGGCCTTCCTGGGATCTTCTGGACTCTCCGGAAGACCCCTTCAATATTGAAAGAGAAGCCCGGCTTCATCGGCAGGCGGCAGGTGAGCTGGGAGGGGGTCTGGGGGACAGTCCCACACTTGGGAGGGCTGGTGGCCTCTGTGCAGACACTGGCTGAACAAATACTTTGCTCCAGGTCCAAGCCGGACTCTGGCTCTATCTGCTGAGAGAACAGGTGGGTCTGGGCAGCTGCCTGTGGCTGTGCACCTCTGCTCAGCCTGTAGTTGGGGAAGATGGGGAGATCTGTGGGAGAGTGGGAAGGAAATTATCCTGTACTGAGTATGACTGGTGTCTTCTCCAAGCTGTGAGCGAAGCAACCTGCACCTGGAGTGGGCAGCTGCCTCCCCGAAACTACAAGAACCCTGTCTACTCCTGCAAAGTGTTCCTGGGTGGAGTCCCATGGGACATTACAGAAGGTGAGCTGCCCCTGCAAAGTGAGGCCCCAAACCAAGGCCTTGGGTGTTGATATTAGGAGAGTGCAGGATGGAGCTTTTGGTGGAGGACACTGACCTTTCTCCTTCTATCTGTAGCTGGGCTGATCAACACTTTCCGTGTTTTTGGCTCCCTGAGTGTGGAGTGGCCTGGTAAGGATGGCAAACACCCACGCTGTCCTCCCAAAGGTAATATGCCTAAAGGTAATAGCGAACACGGTAGGGTTACTTTTTTCCCATGCTATGTTACAGCACGGATGCTGGGATTGTACAGCTGCATGCTGGTGACTGGTTGGTACAGAGCACCTGGGATCATGTCCTGCCCTCACTTGGGTTTGCACCTGGGCTGCAGAACACTGGCACCCCAAACCCATCATCCTCATCCTTCCATAGCAGTATGGGACAGAACTGTGGGCTGGGGGAACTCTCTCTGGGTGTTTCTGGAGCCCCATGTAGGGCTGTGGCTCTGGAACAGCTGCTGATCCCAGTGCCAGCATGTGCAGCTGGACTGGCATATTGTGTAAGCAGGAATTATCTACAAGGTAGGAAGTGGCTGGTTTGGAGCCTGGTTTGATAGCTTCATTCAGTCACCAGAGCAATGTGAGGTAGAGCACTGGCATCCATGAAAGGGACTTGAAAACCCTGAACTGTATTTGAGCCAGTCCATCCTAAATACATAGCAGAGTCTATTTTTCTGCAGACCTTGTTGTGGCCAAGCTGGTGGTGCCCACTCGGCACATCCAGGTGTGGTTTGTGGATGATGGACAGTGGCCCACATGGCCCTGGGCATCCTGCCCCTTGTGCTGTGCTTGGGTTTGGGCTCTTCCAGCTTGGCTTATATATGAGTCTGCTGGGAACAGCAAGAGCTACCACACAGATATGTCAGGTGGCACCCAAGAGTGATTATGAGGATGTCTACAAACTGGGATGAACTGTTCCTCCTCCACCACAGCTCCTAACACTGCTTCTTTCTCCTCCTTTCCAAAGGATACGTCTACCTGGTGTTTGAGTCAGAGAAGTCGGTGCGTGCACTGCTCCAGGCCTGCTCCCGGGACCTGTCGAGCCCTGACGGGCTCAGTGAGTACTACTTCAAGATGTCCAGCCGCAGGATGCGCTGCAAAGAGGTGAGCAGAGCTGGGAGAGCAGCCTGACGTGGCAGCAGGGGATGCAGAGGGAGGTCCCTGGAGGAAAGGCAAGCAGGGCTGGAACAGCAGCTGAAGGTGTGCTGGCTCCTGGCTGGCTTTGACTGCTCTCTGCCTGTGGTAGGGATGTGTCAGCTTGGTGTTCGTGTCCCTCGTAACAGCTTATGTCAAACCAACCTGGAGCTCCTGGGTTGCTGGCAGAGCCTGCCTTCAGGCTTCAGTTAGCTGGGACAGAGCATGGAAACGGAGATTTAACTACTCTGTGCTGCTTCCATCACACCTTTGCTTGCAGAGGCAGACTGGGACCCCTCAGGTGCTTTGTCAGGCCTCCTCTGTTTGCAGAACAAATAACTCACACTCAGCAGAAAGATACTTTGGATCCCAGGCTGCTCCCCAGTGTGGCCTTGGCTGGCTGACCTGTGCTTTGGGCATGCTGGGGCTACCAGACACTCTGTTTGGGCTTACGGAAAAGGGATCAATCCTCAGGTCACGGACAACTGCCTGAGTTCAGGGAGTTACAGGATGGAGATGCAGCTCTTAATCTAGACAGGCACAAACTAATTGTGCTCTAGACAGCTATCCTGGTGTCCAGCAATTGGCAGAGCTTCTGTGCTTGGTGATTTAGTTCTGCCAGAAGCTTCTCTCCAGAGCCCTCCATAAGATGCAGAGCAGATGGGAGTTCTTGATGGAGCTGGCAGTGGGTGATCATTCATTCCAGTGGTCCCATCCAACATCAGGTTCCTGATTGGGCTATAAATGCAGGTAGAGGGATGTGGATTGTCCTCTGGCTGCCACCCCCAAGGAACTGCTGGCTTAGGTTCCAGTTTGGCTGGAAGCAGAGTTGGTTTTGTCCCCTTGTGGGTTCTCTGGGGGTGTCTGGAGCTTTATATGGATGTGGACCCTGAGCAGCAATAGATGACAAATTACATTTGCAGCTTGGGCTGAAGTCTGAGGTTCAGGGGTGCTCCTGCTTGCAGGTGCAGGTGATCCCGTGGGTGCTGGCCGACAGCAACTTTGTGCGCAGCCCCTCGCAGCGGCTGGAACCCAGCAAGACGGTGTTTGTGGGGGCCCTGCATGGGATGCTCAACGCAGAGGCCCTGGCAGCCGTCATGTACGACCTGTTTGGAGGGGTGGTCTATGCTGGCATCGACACTGACAAGCACAAGTATCCCATAGGTAAGTGATGATTCCACCAGGATTGGTGGTTGCTCCTGCCGTGCTCTGAGGAGCTGCAGTGTGCCCTTGGCTTGTCCTTCTGTTGGAAGACTGCCCAGGTGCCGGGCTCAGAGAGCAGATGCTGTTCAACCTCTTCTACAGTCTGTGCTTCTCAGCTCCTGGCCCTGGGGAGGCAGGAGCAGCCTTGGGGAGGGCTGATAGAGCTGATGTGCTGGGGAATTGGAAGGTTCTGGATCATTCCAGAGCAGCCTGAAGTTTTGAATATGCCTTTAGGCATGGCTGAAGGTTTCTCTGTCCTTGTTCAATGCTGTTTAGTGGGTTTTGGGTGCTGCTATAGCTGCTTTTCCATTCGCAGGACAGAGACAGCTGTGGGTCTTAACCCACTCATGGGCGCTTGTCACCAGAGCTGAAATGTGGTGTGTCATGATGTGTGTATGTCCCTGGAGCCCTCATGGGCCAGGGGACAGCACTGAGGTGGCTGGTCTGTTGGAAAAACCCCACAGCCTGTGCCTGAGGACCAGCATTCCAGGCTCAGGCTACAGCAAGTCACAGACAGAGACTGTGGATCTCCTGGTGTTGCCAGGCAGTAACTATGTCAGATCTTGGAGTGCAGAGTTGTCACTGCTTGGTCACTGTCCCTGGGTAGCAGTTAGGCTTTTTTGGGCAAGGCTCAGGTTTAGGGCATGCATGTTGTGCTGCAAAGCCCCTGAAGTGCCTTTAGGGGGACAGTCTCAAGGAGGGTGGGAAATGGGAGTATGAGACTTCGGGCAAATTCTGTGTGACTGTAGATGAGGTGTCACAGAACCTCCCTGTGCTGGCCCTGCGAGATCCCAGTGTGTAACCCCAACCTGCTGTAGTTCATGCAGAGCCCAGGTTGCTCCAAGTAGGCAAGATCCAGCTCCAGACAGCTCTGTGGCACTTCCACCCTTAGAACTGTCCTAAAGTCACAGCAATCAGAGCTCAGTTTTGGTAACTAAGCTGTGCCCTGGCTGGTTGAGGGCACCTCCTGTAACCCCAGACTGGACCCAGGCCCTCCTGTCTATGTCCTGTGCAATGCTTTGGGAGGGGAATGGATGAGTTTTCGGTGGCACTTTGTCCTGTGGCTGAGCAGTAGGGATCTGCCAGTGTCAGTCCTGGAGCCTAACAGACCTTGGCTGGAAGCAAGTGGTGCTGGAATGCTGCTGACCAGCAATGAGGCTGCAAAACACAAGGCTCTGGGGTGAGGGGAGGGCTGTGAATAAAAGCTGCTGAGCTGTCTCAGCACTGGTGTATTTCAGGTGTAGTGTGAAGAAGCACTCTGCTGATCCTGGGAATGTGGTGCCTGGAGAAGGAGGCAGGAAGACCCCCTAGGATACCATCTCCCTGTCAAAGCTGTTTCTCTGAGTGGCACCAGGGAGGGGGTGGTGCTGGCAGCGGTTCCCTCTTGGTCTCTGCTGTTCCTCTCTAACATTTGTGGTCTGGCTTGTTGCAGGGTCGGGCCGTGTCACCTTCAACAACCAGCGCAGTTATCTGAAGGCTGTGACTGCTGCATTTGTGGAGATCAAAACCACCAAGTTTACCAAGAAGGTGAGTGGGGCTGGTGGGACAGCCCAGGGAGGGTCTGCATGATGGGTGGTACTGCTGGGAGCACCAGTGTTGATGGAGCCTGCCCTATATTCCTGCTCAAGCAGCAGGAAGTGGGGCTGCTGCTCTGCCTGCCCTAGGGGTGCTGCTGGGGATGGATTTGAGGTACCAGGGAGAGGGCAATCAGCCTGGTGCTGCCCCATGCCCACTGCCTCGTTCTCCTGCAGGTTCAGATCGACCCGTACCTGGAGGACTCCATGTGCCAAGTGTGCAGTACCCAGCCTGGCCCATTCTTCTGCAGAGACCAGGTGAGGCCAGTTCTCCTGCAGCCTGTGCTCAGGGGTTTTCTCAAGGAGGAGCAGGCCCCGCTGCTGGGTTTTGGGCATATATGCACTGGTTCTTCCCCAGTGGGCAAGATGGGCCCAGCTGGGAGGGGTGACCTTGTTTTGGAGGAGGTGCATCTCTCCTGAGGAGGGCAACTCTGGTGCTTGCCAGGAGGCCCAGCCAGCCAGTGTCCACCCAGCTCTGAGCCGGGGGTGCTGCAGTTCACTGGTGCTGTGCCAGCCCTGGGACCTAGTGTGGGAATGACTGGTGCCCCTGAGGGAGGGGACACTGTTGCTCTGGGGGCTGTGATGAGCTGGGGTTGAGGTGCATGCACCTGGGGCTGGCTGAGGCACAGGGAACTCTGGCTGCAGGCAGAGGAGCTTGGCTGGGCTCTGGCAGCTTCCTGCAGAGCTGGGATGGGACATGAGCAGGGGCCAGGAATGCCATGGGAGTGATGGCAGCCCTGGCAGAGCCCAGCAACTGCCCCAGTGCCCAGTCCCTGATTTTCAAACCTGTTCAAAAGATGGAAGCTGGGCACAACTGGCCCCCTCCACAGCATTGCTGCCATTCCCCATCTCCAGCCCATGGATCCACTGTGCTGGTGGGGGCTGCAAAACTGGGCAGGGGTGAAGGGGAGGAGTGGCTCTGCTGGTGTCACCCCAGTGTTGGCCCTGTGCTCTGCCCACAGATCTGCTTCAAGTACTTCTGCCGCTCGTGCTGGCACTGGCAGCACTCCATGGAGGTCCTGCGCCACCACCGCCCGCTGATGCGCAACCAGAAGAACCGGGACTCCAGCTAAGGAGCCACCGGGGCACGGGGCTGGCACGGGCAGAGTCCTGGGAGAACCTGCCACGAGGAGAGCGCAGCAGCGCCTGCCGGAGCCAGGCCCGGCTGGGAACGTTCTTCCTGAGGACTGATGGGGAAAAAACAAAAATCTTACATTCATGTTTGCACTTGCTGGTCTTTTTGTTTCTGCACTAATGCACAGTGAGTTTTGTTGGGGTTTGTTTGAGGGTGTTTTGAGGGGGGGAGTGCCCCTCAAGCCATTCTGCAGTTCCCAGACTTTGGTTCCAGGTTTGCTGACAAGAAGCAAAAATTGAAAATGAATAAACCCAACCAACCAAGGGCCATGTGTCGCGGAGGCGTTGCCGCAGGCGCCTCCGCCCTGGTTTTTTTTATTTTTTAAAGGCGCTTTTTTACATTCCTTGCAATACTGGTGGAGAGAGCGCAGGTCTCATTGGTCATTGTTTTGCCGTTGCCATACAGTGCCTTTCCATTCATTTACCCCCACCTGGATGGTGTGACCTGGGTGTTCAGCTGGCGTTTTTTACTGTAACAACAAGGAGACTTTGCTCTTCATTTAAACCAAATCATATTTCATATTTTACGCTCGAGGGTTTTTACAACTTCCTTTTTACACTCTTAAAAACAGTTTTTAAGTCGTTTGAAATGAGAGATTTTTTTCTTTTCCTGGCAGCTTTTAACATTATTGCAATTTGTGTCTGGGGGCTGATGGCAGGACGTTGTAAATCTGGGGGTTTGCAACGGGACAGGCCGGGCTGTTTTTTGTTTTTGGAGTTGAAACTGGACGGGATGAGGATCTCTGAGCTGCTGTATATAGTTTTAAATAGTTTGTTGCACTTTTTTAAGTTGCACTTATGGGGGGTTGATAGAGGTTTTTAATCACACAAAGTCACAGGACTTACCTTTTCTTTTGTAACAAGCTAAAAAAGGGCTGCGTTCTGGTGGACGATGAAGGTTCCTGGGAGCCCTTTCTCTTAGAGGGGACAAGTAATTTTCCTTTCCTTCCCGAGACGTTTGGAGTATCAGTGCAGTCGACTGAAATGCTGCTGCTGGGATTTGAGACCTTAATTATGCTGATCATTATTATTTTGTTACTTTCCCCTCTATTGGAAGCTGTGTGCCAAAGAACCAGTGTCATAATTTCTCCCTCTTTACTATGATTATTTTTTTTTCTTTCCTGCTGAGCTGATGTTGCATTGTTGCATATCCCAGCTGCTCTTTGTGGGGTTTTGTGAAGCTGTGTGTGAAGTCTCTACCTCATTGTAGTATATGCAGGCAAGACTGCACTCTCCTACAGACGTGTGGAGTAAGCTGTGGTGTAGTTTTTGGCACATAATAAACACGTTGCAGCAAAAAAAAAAAAAATTGTTGTGCCTTGTGTGCTTCATGGGAGATCTCTGCGGCTCGGAGGCTGTGGTGTCACTGCCTGGAGGTGTGGGGGAAGGTTACGGATGTGGTTGGTGGGGAGGGATGGATGGAGCTATGAATTGTGGATGCTGTTGGTGGGTGACTCAGCTGGGAGGGAGCTCTTATCTGCTGCTAAACAATGCATGGTTTAGATCCCACTTACCTGAGGTCCCTGCAGGCCCCTAGGCTCCAGCTGGAGCTCCACTAATTGCAAAAGAGTTAATGAGGCTGATGGGAGGGGTCTGTGTTGCCCTGTGTTCTCCCACTGTGGCTGCTCCTGCGGGGCTGTGAGGGGAGAGGGCCCCAGGGCTCCTCTCTGAGGGGGTGGGGAGGGCCGAGTTGGACTTACAGTGCCTCAGAGACCGCCGTGTGTGCCCCGCGTCCCTGCAGCAGGGCAGGCTGTGGTTACCTCTCCTCCTCGAGGGCTGCGGTTTGTGGGTGCTCGGTGCCCTCTCGGGGCCGGTGCCGCCGGCTCCGCGGCTCTCCGGGATTCTCTCCGGGAATTCCTTCCCGGGCCGCTCCGTCCCGTTCCGGGGCGGCCTCAGGCTGCGGTCCTCCGCGCCGCCAGGGGGCGCGCTGCCCGCCGCTGGCTTCCGGCGCCTCCCGCCCTGCCCCGCTCCTTTTCCGCGGCTGCCGCCGACATGGTGGGTCCGGCTCTCGCCATCCGCCGCCATCCTCGGGCGGGCCCGCGCCCCCGCGGCGGGGAGCGCCGGTGGGGATCGCGGGGAACCGGGGCGAGGGGCAGTGGGGGGCGACGAGGGCCGGGATGGCTGGGGAAGGGGGAACTGGGGCGGGGGGCGCTGGGCCCGGGCTCGGCGGGGCCTGACCGGCGGCGCTCCCGCCCGCCCCGCGTAGGGACGCGTTCGGACGAAGACGGTGAAGAAAGCGGCGCGGGTGATCATCGAGAAGTACTACACGCGCCTAGGGAATGACTTCCACACCAACAAGCGCGTGTGCGAGGAGATCGCCATCATCCCCAGCAAGAAGCTGCGCAACAAGATTGCGGGGTGAGGCACTGCGGGCCGCGAGTGGGCGTGGGGCACCGGAGGGTCCTGGGTGGGCTGTGGGCAGCTGGGGTGCATCGGAAGGTCCTGGGGGATTCGGGCACGGCCTGGGGGTTCCTGCTGGGCCCTGCATTCGAAAGTGATTACGGTCCCGCCTGTGGCCGGGTCATTGATAGTGCAGGGAGAGGAGTGCGAGAGTTTTCCCGTGTTTGGGGGGGTCTTTGTCTCCCCCAGACCCTGTTACTGTCGGACACTTTGTCTCTGATGTCCCCTGGAGCCTGTGGGATGATGCCCGGGTCAGTGGTGGGATATCGCTGGGGTAGATGGTGGCAGCTCTCCTCATCCTGCTGTGGTTCCGGGATTTTGGGTGTGGGGAAGGGTGACATGGACCCCGGGAAAGCCCAGGACACCCCCGTGTCCCCGCAGGTATGTCACCCACCTGATGAAGCGAATCCAGAGGGGCCCTGTCCGCGGCATCTCCATCAAACTACAGGAGGAGGAGAGGGAGAGGAGGGACAACTACGTCCCGGAGGTGAGGCTCCAGCTTCCCCATCGCTCTGTTCTGCCTCGCTGTATCTCCATAAACAGTCCCACGTTTAAAACAAACCCTCAGCCAGGAGGAGCTGAGGAGGGTTTGGATCAAGAAGGCCGAGGTGGCTCCCTCCAAAGCTGCCACCTGGGACAGGAAGGACAGCTGGCTTCTCGTGGTTTGGTTTTCCTAACTTAAAATTCAGGAAAAAAAAGAATTTGATGGGAATCAGGAGGGTATTTCAGAGCAGCTGAAAACTTGCCTTGCAGCTGGAATCCCCAGAGGGAGGTTTTGGTAAAATTCCCTGCTTTAACCCTCTGTTTGGGTGGGGTCTAGATCTCACCTGTCACCTGGGTGAGAGGTCCAGGAGGGCTTCCCTTGTTCCAGGAATGTGATCCTGGTGCTCCTAAATCCTGTAGCCTTCAGGTACAGCCCATATCTTGCCCTTTTCCCAGATCTTCCCAGTCAGCTCCTGGCACAGCTGCTGGTTTCTGTGCTAGTATCAGAGAGGGGTTACAGGGAGGGGAATCCAAGCAGGGAAGGAATGTCCATGCTGCAGCTGTTGGTGCAGTGTCAGCACACAAAATCTGTGCTGGTTTTGGTTTCTTTGAAAAATCCTGGTGTTACGTAGCTCCTGGGGAAGGAAACCTGTGGAGGAAGAGTTTTTGGGGTCTGCAGAGGGCTAGAGGAAGTTTTGCTGGGATTAAAGAGCAGAAGAGCACAGTTGTCCTGGACATGGAACCACATTTGTTGGCACCGTGGTGGACTTGTGTCACAAGGCAGCTGTGAGTGTCACTGATGCCTGCCAGGACTGGTGTGGGTGAGGGTCCAACACCAGCTCCTCAGCAGCCTTGGCCTGGAGCCTTGGTTGGGCCTCGATTTCCAAAGATTTTCCATAAAAGAGGCTTTTCCCTCTACTGCCAGTGTCCTCTTGCAGTCTTCAGTCAAAAAAAGCTGTGTTTCCATCAGGATGCTCCTGGCTCTGCCGCTGAACTGTTCCCACAGCCAGTGGGAGGAGATCAGAGACCAGAGGGGACATTCGGGTTGTTGTGGGGCTTTATCAATCACACCTTGTCTCTTCTCTCTGTCCCCAGGTCTCTGCCCTTGACCAGGAGATCATTGAAGTGGACCCAGACACCAAGGAGATGCTGAAGCTCCTGGTTAGTAGCCACAACTGTTCCCTGCCCAGCTGCTGGCATATCCCTGGCACACCTCCTGCTGCCCTGAGTGGCTGGATGGTGTTAAGGGCGTCCCTCTGCCCTGGGTCCTGTGGCAGGATTAGTTCATGTATGGATTTTGAAAGGGCAGGTATGGGCCTTTGCCACCAGCAGGGTGGGTGTGTTCCTTGCCCTCTCTTCTGATGATTCCCTCACCAAGGAGTCAATCTCTGGAGCAGAGTGGTCTCTTCTTTGGAGACCTCTGTTCACCTTTGTGCTGCCACAGCACCTTCCCACACCTTCCCGGAGGAACTTGCCTCCACTGTCAGTGGGCAGGATGCTATGACTGATGCCATTGTTGCCTTGCTGTTTTCCAGGATTTTGGCAGCCTGTCCAACCTGCAGGTGACACAGCCTACAGTGGGAATGAACTTCAAGACGCCCCGAGGAGCGCTCTGAGTCTGTCCCTGTGTGTCGCTTTTACAATAAACGTGAGGAAACCATCTCAGCCTGCCTGGTCTTTAGACACCCAGGGGATGAGGGCGGGTGGGTTCTGGGGGTGCCACACTGGGGCACACAGAGGACTCAACACCTCATGTGTACCAGCATCTTTTTGGGTTCTTTCCTGGTGGTTTGGGGTGTGAAGTGCAAAGCTGTTACTTTGGAGGCTCTCCTGCCTTTGGGGCAGTGGGAGAACAGCCGTGGTGGCTCCTTGGAGCTTGTGGGAGCCTGTCCTAGATTTACCTATGCTTCCTCCAAGTGGACAGTCCAGGGATCAAGCTGTACCACAACAGAAGTTGTTTTTTATAACCCTATTGGTAATTTCCAAGTGCTTAAATGAAAGGGAAAAGTCTTAAAATTCCTTAATTAAATGAAAGTAAGGAGACCTTTGTGTGTCCCTCCAAGGAAAAGTTTAAACTAGTTAAAACACAGCTTAAACCACTACCACACCCCTGCCCCAGAATAAAAAGAAAATATTTCTGTTTTGGGGAGAAATGTCTGTATTTATGTTTTTTGTGAAATTTAGTTTAAGTCGTTATTTAAAGAAGCAAATACTATAACTGCAGCCAGTACTTAAATAACACATTGAGTGCTCTGAGCTGCAGTCGGATAATTTATATAAATCATCTGGTAGCTCTTAGATTGAAGTTTTTGCTGCTCCAGCCACCTGTTCCTTACCATTTCCTCTTCATTTTGGTCTTCTCACAGTAAATGCTAAATTTGCTTTGAACCCAGTACGCTGCATAGCCCGAGGTGCCGGGGATAAAGTCATGGAGTTCCCCCTCATATTTCTTCATGTCCTGTGCAGAGGGATAGCCTGTGGAGGGAAGATGGGGTCACTGAGTCCCTGCTCCATGTGCTCCATCTGTGGCCTTTTCCAGGTGTATTTATTTACCTGTCACCATGTTATTTTTTGGGTATTCCTGGAGGGCACGGTATGGAAATTCTCCCTGGGCAGGTGCTTCAGAGTCTGTATCTTCACTGCTGTATCAGGAAGGAAAAAAAATCTGTGTGTTAGTTCCTGTGTGTTAGGTTTGCTTGGAATCGGGGGTGCATCCAAATCCCACCACTCAAGGTAGGAAAATACCTCTCAGCCAGGTCTAGCACTTCTTCCTCTGGTTCTTCCTCACAGCTGTTTCTTGCTGCTTCTGGTTCCTCTGTCGGATTTTCTTTGGGCTGTGAATATCAGCACAAGAATGAGTTACAGTTGTACCCTGGGTCACCTGCAGAACACCTGGGATGCACTCCGAGTCGTAAATTTTTAGGGCTCGTGATTTTAATTCAGAATTAAATTTTAAATCTAAGGGCATTCCTGCTTCAAAAGTGCTGGGAAGTTGCTTTGAGAGGAGAGTGGGTAGTGACATGGGATAGGAGAACACCGCACCAAAGGGCTGAGCTCAGCCTGTGGCAATTGGAATCCCTGGAACAGCACACTGCTGAGAGACTAGATATGTCTGGTCAAGGGAGACAATCCTTGCAGTGCTGTCCCCCCCAGGATGTCATGCTGGGAGGGACACACAGCACAGCAAGCACAAGGAATCAGAATCAATTAGGTTGGAAAAGACCATCAGGTCCAGCTAATGACCAATTACCACCTTCCAACCAGACCAGAGCACCGAGTGCCACATCCAGTCATTCTGGGCAGCCCATTCCAGTGCGTAATCATCCCTTCTGGGAAGAAATTCTTCCTGATGTGTAAACCTCTCCTGGTACAGCTTAAGGAAATGTCCTCTCATCCTGTCCCTTGGGCCTTGGGAACAGTGCCTGACCCCCACCCAGCTCCACCCTCCTGTCAGGGAGTTGTGCAGAGTCCCCTCTGAGCCTCCTTTTCTCCAGGTTGAGCCCCCCAGCTCCTTCAGCTGCTCCTGGTGTTCCAGACCCTTCCCTGGCTCAGTTCCTTGTCTGGCCCTTTTCAGCACCAAAAAGTCCTTGAATTGAATTGGGTCCAGAATTGGACACAGCACTTGAGTTGGGGCCTCAGCAGTGCCCAGTACAGGGGGGAAAAATCACTTCCTGGTCCTGCTGGGTACACAGGCCAGGTGCCACTGGCATTCTTGGCCATCTAGGCTCATGTTCAGCTGCTGTTGATCAGCACTCCCAGGACCTTTCTTGCTGGAATGCTTTCCTGCCACTCATCCAAGTCTGTGGCTCTGCAGGGGTTATTGTGGCCAAAGTGCAGGACCCAGACCTTGGCCTTGTCGACCCTGGTCCACTGATCCAGCCTGGCCGGGTCCCTCAGCAGAGCCTTCCTAGCCTGCAGCAGAACCACACTCCCACTCAACTGTGTGTCACCTGTGCATCTGCCCATGGTGGACTCAGTCCCCTCATTCAGATCTTCAGTAAAGATACTGAATAGGACTGGGCCCAACACTGATCCCTGGAGAACACCCTGGTGACCAGACACCAATTGTCCAAGCTGTGAGCTGCAGTTTTCCAGGAGATGCTGTGGGAAATGGTGTCAAAGGCTTTGCTGATGTCCAGGTAAGCACATCCACAGCCTTTCCTTCATCCAGGTGAGTCCTCTTGTCATGAAAAGAAATCAGATTGGTCAGGTAGGACCTCCCCTCCTAAATGCATGCTGGCTGGATCTGATCCCTTCCTTTTCCTGGGTGTGCTGTGTGATGGCACTCAAGGTGATCTGCTCCATAACCTTCCCTGCCGCCTGTCACACTGAAAGGTCTGTTAATTCCCTAGATCCTCCTTCCATCCCTTCTTTTGGATGGGTGTCACATTAATACCTTGTCATCTGGGACCTCCCCAGTGAGCCAGGACTTACTACAGAGGATGGACAGCGGCTTGGCCAGCTCTTCCTCCAGCTCCCTCATCACCCTGGGATGGATCCCATCAAGGCCATGGACTTGTGAGCATCTAAGTGGCACAGCAAGTCAGTGACTGCCTGCTCCTGGATTTCTGGGGGTCCATTCTGCTCCTCATGTCTCTACCAGCTCAGGGGGCTGTTTGTCCTGATCCAACCAGTCTTAGTGTTGAAGACTGAGGCAAAGAAGGTGTTAAGTTCCTCAGCCTTTTCCTAGTCTTTGGTCATGGACACTCCAATAAAGAATGGAGGTTTTCCTTGGCCCTCCTTTTATTAATAAAATATTTATAAAAGTATTATTCTTTACAGAGGTGGCCAGATTAAGTTTTAACTGAGCTTTCACCTCTCTGATTTTCTTCTTTCTGCATGACCTAAGGATGTCTTTAAATGCTTCCTGAGTTGCCTGCCCCTATTCCCAAAAATTATATATGCTATTTTTTCCCCTAAATTCCTGTGAAAGCTCCCTGCTCAGCACAAGCTCGTCCTCCAGCACATACATGTGCAGTACAAATTTTTCATCTTACCTGTTCTTCAAGGGCATCTGCCTTCTCCCAAATAAACCGACCAATTTTCCTTCTGATTTCTGACAAGAAGAACAAAATTAGTGACTGTGAGAGCACCAAAAAACAGGACTGTGGCAGTTGCTGCCAGTGTGATGCCCTGCAGGTGCCTCTGGGGACAAGCCCAAATGCAAGGTCCTGCCCCTGGGCCAGGGCAATCCCAAGCACAAATTCAGGGTGGGCAAGGATGGATTGAAAGCAGCCCAGAGGAGAACTTGGGCATGTGGGTGGATGAAAAGCTCATGGATATGACCTGGCCATGCGTCCTGGACACATTCCACAGTGTGGGCAGCAGGTGAGGGGAGGACTCTGCCCCTCTCAGGAGCAGCAGTGCTCCTCCAGCTCTCCTCCCAACAGCAGAAGGACATGGAGCTGCTGGAGAGTGTCCAGAGGAAGCCATGGAGATGTTCCAAGGACTGGAGCCCCTCTGTTCTGGAGCCAGACTGGGAGAGCTGGGGGTGTTCACCTCAAGAAGAAAAGGCTCCAGGGAGACTCCAGGGCCTAAAAGAGGCTCCAGGGGCTGGAGAGGGACTGGGGACAAGTGCCTGGAGTGACAGGACAAGGGCGAAAGGCTTCAAACTGACAGAGGGAAGGGTTAGATGGGATACTGGGAAGAAATTCCTCCCTGTGAGGGTGGTCAGGGCCTGGCACAGGTTTCCCAGAGAAGCTGTGGCTGCCCCATCCCTGGGAATATTCAAGGTCAAGCCCATTCTGTGATAATAGATGGATCATACTCTGCCTTCTGGGAGGAAGAGCCACTCCCAAGCGAGAAGGAAAAGTCCCTCCCTGCAGACAAGTAAGTGTCAGTTCTAGCTTGCACCAAGGCTGTACTCGTGGGGGATTTTTTTTTTGCCTGACCTTCGTGCAGGCAGGCAGGGGGCAGGACGAAGTGGCCCAGAACCACCGAGGACCTCTCCCCAGCTCCGGTGCTTGCACACGCTGAGAGGTAACAGGAGTGGAAGACCGTGGCTCTGCCCTCCAAGTAACTGAGACTCTCGTGTATGCTGGAAGAGAGAAAGAGAGCTGGTTTCCAAAGGAGAACCTGGATGCAAACCAAAACAAAAACATTTAGAGGGGTGTTGTCTGGTCTGATTTTTTGCTAAAAGCACCTAATTTTCTGTGATTTTCTACCTGTGAGATTCTATCAGTCACGTTCTGTTACAGTCCCAGCTGCCAGCACCTCCCAGGGGCAGCATGGAGGAGGGACAAGGATAAATGCATTTTTAGGGATTACACAGTCCCACTCTGCTCTTGAGGTGAAACTACGCCGGGGAGAGCAAAGACAGGATTTTTCTACAATTACCCATCACCACACTGGTTCCTGCTCACACAGCTGAGCAAGGAAGTGGAGATGGAGGGTGTTCCAGCCCTCACTGTCCTCCTTAGAGGGGAATTAAATCTTGTTTGTTGGGTTTAAGGATGTGTATAATTGATTACATTTTTTTCACAAGGAACTACCTAACTATATACATTGACTATATATATATATATTTTTTTTTTTTTTTTTTAATTATCCAGAATTCCCCTGGGGGAATTTTTCCAGACCAGGGCTGGTCTGGCAGGATGTTGTTGCAGAAGTTGGTATTCTGTGCTTACTGGAATTCCCCTCGCTTAGCTGGAGGAGGTGGTTGAAAGATTCCAAAATTCAAAGCCAGTTTTAAGCACTGGTGTGTCAAAAAGAAACTACTTAGTTCAGCCTAGCAAAGCCCAAAAGAAACATCACAGCTTCCTTTCTCATACATATGTTTACATGACTAAATAATGAATTAATACAAATATTCACTGATATTGAGGAAGTGAGGAAGGTCCTTAAGACTTTCCTTAAATATGTACAAATGTTCCATAAGTCTCTATTTTTTTAAATTAAGCATTTCAGCCTTTTTCCATCCATTTTTATGCCAGTGCTTCCTTTTACCATTAATTCACACTGGCTTTTTAGCACTAGGTTTCTTCCTTGGGAATTTTATCACCTCTGTTTTAGATGCTGACTTTCCAGACGATAATTCACAGCCAGCAAGAAACCAAGTTAATAATTAAATCACAATTAAGCCCTTCTCAACACATGGATGATTTTTCTCTATGCCATCTATCTAAAGCTTAATGTGGGTGTGAGTTTTCCTGACCCCACTGGGCAATAAGATCCTGGTAGATCCACGCCATGACTTTAAAAACACACCCTTGACTGTTACAAGATGTCAGTATCTATGAAATACTTTTCACTAAATACATTAAAGCCTCCTTTGCCCACCTGCGGGTGTCAGGGTGGGCAGCATCGCTGCTGAAGAGGTAGTCAGCATCCAGCCAGTGGGTGATGGTCCCGCCACCGTCTGCTGCAGGGGACAGGGAGGGAGGTGAGGATGGCATCCAGGGGGTTCCCACCTCGGGGTGACCTGGGACAGGGACAGCTGCTTGTGAGGCCGCAGAGATGGGCCCTGAAGTGGAAGCTGTGACAGCTCCCCATGGCTGTGGGACTCCCATTGCTCCCCTGAGGGTTGTTCAGGGCTTTTCCTCAGTGTGGGGGCCCGTGGACTGGCCAAACTCATGCTCTGCTCTGTTGTGTGGGTCTCAGTCCCACGAAAGGGTGACAGGGCTGTGTCCCCACTGCTGTGCCCTGCTGAGGAATGGTGGGGCTGTGCTCCCTTCCTAATTCGCCCTGAGCGGTGACAGGGCTGTGCCCCTGCCAATTCCCCCGCGGATTCCTGCCAGCTCTGTGCCCCGGGGCTCCCCGGGACTTCGCTGTCGTCTGGCCCCCTCACCCCACAGCCCCCGCGGGCCCGGGCTGACACTCTGCGAGAACCAAGCGCGGCGTCCGCGGAACATCGCGGCGAGAGCCGCCCTGGGGGACCCGAGGGCGGGAACGGTCCTGAGGGGCTGGAAGGAGGCGGGAACCGCCCTGAGGGGCTGGAAGGAGGCGGGAACCGCCTTAAGGGGCTGGAAGGAGGCGGGAACCGCCCTGAGGGGAACCGCCCTGAGGGGCTGGAAGGAGGCGGGAACCGCCCTGAGGGGCTGGAAGGAGGCGGGAACCGCCCTGAGGGGAACCGCCTTGAGGGGCTGGAAGGAGGCGGGAACCGCCCTGAGGGGAACCGCCTTGAGGGGCTGGAAGGAGGCGGGAACCGCCCTGAGGGGAACCGCCTTGAGGGGCTGGAAGGAGGCGGGAACCGCCCTGAGGGGCTGGAGGGAAGCGGGAACCGTCCTGAGGGGCTGGAAGGAGGCGGGAACCGCCCTGAGGGGAACCGCCCTGAGGGGCTGGAAGAAGGCGAGAGCCGCCTTGAGGGGCTGGAAGGAGGCGGGAACCGCCCTGAGGGGCTGGAAGGAGGCGGGAACCGCCCTGAGGGGAACCGCCCTGAGGGGAACCGCCCTGAGGGGCTGGAAGAAGGCGGGAACAGCCCTGAGGGAAAGCGGTGCTGGGAAAACCCGGCGGAGCTGTGTCAGAGCGCTTTAAGCGGCATATTAGCGAAAGGTTCTTCCCCCCACAGTGTGCAACTGGAACAACTCCCCAGGGCAGCCCCAAGCCTGACAGAGCTCAAAGGGCACTTGGACAACACTCTGAGACACAGGGTGGGGTTTTGGGGTGTCCCGTGCAGAGTTAGGAGTTGGACTCGAACCTTCCTCTCCTAGAAGCTTTTCTCAGAAAAACCCTTGCATTTTGCTGATTCTGGAAATTGCTTGCAGAAAATTTGCTTTTATTTCATAAATCACAAATGAGGCTTGCTTCATGCTTGAAGCTTCCCAAGATATCCCTCAGGATACCCCATCCCCGGGGAACTGTTGCCAGCAGCAGCAGCAGAGCAACATCCCGAGTACCTCAGAACCCCAAAGATGCTGGATAAAACAGAGAAGGTATTTCTGGACATAGTCCTGAAATCCAGCAGTTAAAGGAAATCAGCCTCTGGCATGAGCATGTGTGGTTCTCCCACAGACAGGGGATTTTTGAGTAAACCATCAAAATGTTTCTTAAGAACAGAGAAATCCCACAGAGGCAAGCAGGGCATGTCCCCAGTGTGGGAAGATGATGATGTGTCCTTTGGAGACAGGGTCACTTCACATTGCCTCCACAGAATCTTCAGTTTCTGCAGTTTACTCCACTCCTGTCCTAATTAGGATACAGATCTCTTGGCAGAGTGGTTACCCAGCAATTATTCTGGTGCTCTTGATGATAGGAAAGGTGAAGCTGAGGTGGCAGAAAGCACTTTGGTGGCCCCTTCATGATCCATGGGAGGAGGCCAGGACATGTTCCACAGCTCCTTGAGCTCACACAGCACCTTGTGCTGCTCCACGGGGGTCTCTGGGAGAGAAGCTGAAATCTTTTCCCCTCTCCCAGGCCATCTTCTCTCACACACGGAGTGCTGCTGGGGCTGCCTGGTTACCAGAGCACATCTGGTGCTGCAGGCTGAGCTGTGTCCTGCTGTCCCGTGCTGAGAGATGAGCACTGTGCACAACTGCCCAGCCATGACAGCCCCGCCTGTCCTGCCTTTAACACCTCTCTGATGAGCCCAAAGGGATCCCTTTAACGGGCCCTACCCCTCAGCAACCTACCATGTGGGTGTTAGAACTGCAACAGCCTGGATTTTCCAAATCTCTAACAAAAACAAATTGGTTATAATGAAAATAGCCATGGAACAAGACAATATCCATCAAAAATCTTGTGTATGTTCTGGGACACCATAACAGCAAATCTTAATATACCCAAGAAGAGACATGGGATGACCTGAGTCACCAGGAACCCTTGATCCCATACACGTGATCCTGCTTAAATCCATTTGGATACAATATTCCTCAAGCAATCATTCTGATTTCTTCATGAAATAAAAATGAGTTGATGGCAGCAGCATTGGTTTTGGGTGGTGTCATCAATCCCCCACAGTACAACAGAAGACTGGCCTGAACTGCAGTTCTCCATGGGCTCAAGCACAGAGAAAACCAGAACTGAAATTCAGCAACACACATCTGCTTCCCCCAGGCTCAGCTCTACACCGCACACTCCAAGGTGCATCCGCCAGAGTTCTCCCCATTATAGTGAGCCAGTCCCTGCCGTCGCTCCTTCTGTGTCCCACCCTGCATCCCCAAGGTTCTTCATCCCTTTTTAAACTTGGTACCTCCCCTTCAGAGCCACACAGGAGCCTCCAGCCAGGCAGATACCACATCAGCAAAAAAAAATCTTTAATTCTCTCTTGATGGAAAAGTGCTCTTGCATCTTCTCAGTGGGATAAAAACAGCACGATTGCCCATCATACCACCAAGGCTACATATCCACCCACAAGCCAGTGACCATCAGAGCCTGTGAAATCAGCTTGTCAAATGACTCTGAAGAAACATTTTAAGGACTAGCAGTTTATTAATGGATAAAAATCCTGCAAAATTTTGAGCAGTGAAGAGTTACCATTGTTTTTTAAGCTGTAATGGGGGTATTTTTAGCAACATGCTCAAAAAACCTGCAGAGCTCCCTTGATGCTGTGGCTAAGTGATATCATTAACAAGGCTTATTAGTGAATTTCTGAAAGGACGTTGATCAGCCTTGTGGCTATGATGAACAATGGACAGAAGCTTGAGAAGACTTTGACTTGCAAGAAGAATGTCCCAGATCTGCATGGAGAGAGTAGATTGACGTTAGTCATTCTAGCGACACCTTCAACTGCAATTATTTTAGGACTAAAAACCAGTTTCCTCAGAGAAGTCTGACTGCAGCATCCCTGCAGAACCACCTTCCAGTGAGATTCAGGTAAAAATCCTGCAGAAACTTTTCTGTCCCCTCCTTGGTGGAGTTCAGAGTTCAACAAGTCAAGAAGATCCTTATTCTCCGCCCCAGGGAGGAGTTTGTCCTGCTCTCAACTCCTTCCATGCCAGCTCAGTAAATCCTTGTCCCCCAGACCACAGTGAAATCACCCACGTCCCACCTCCAGCCAGACTCGGCATCCCTCACCAATGTCCCACCAGCTGAAGCCATGGTGCTGTGTGAGCACAGCACACTGCAGACCCTGCCTTGGGGCCAGGCTCACACCCCCACTGCCCAAAGGTGAGTGACAAACCAGAGAGTGACTGTATACAACCTTCTCTTGCTCTGCAGGAACTGCGGCATTTCATATAAGGGTCCTGTCAAGGCTTGTCCCAGGAACAGTTAATCATATCCAGCCTCTAAGAGGGCACTAGGCTGTTTCAACCAGGGTTACATCAGCTGAGCCACCTACTCAGTTTCTTTACCCGATCAAGTGTTAAACTAGAATTTCCCCATTGCTACATCCAGATCAGTTACACACAGATAGTTTGAAGAACTTGGAGCCCTCAGATTGAGACACCAGTGAATAAACCCAGAAGTGTTTCTGGTTTGTGCCTCATGAATTCCACAGAGCGCTGCCCTGCCACAGGGTTAACCAGCCTGCCACCCGCCCTGAGGCACAGGGATCTCGGGTACAGAGACTTCCTGCTCCTCCCCTGACAGGAAACAGAACTTCAGGGCCTGAGGGAGCTCTAGGGGACCTGCCACAATATTTTCTCAAAAGTTCTCCTTTTTTGGAGCAAAGGACTCTTGTAGGCACGGCATGGCCAAAACCAGACCAAAATAGTCAGAAAGAGTGTGGGAAGAGGTTTTTTTTGTGTCCCAAATACGATCTACTTTTTGGGTGTGGTTCCTTCTGTTCCTCAGCTTTTCAAACCCCCCTCCCTACAGAAATGGGTCTGTGTTTCCCCTACCAGCATAGCACACAGCATGGGAATAACTCACCGTGGATTACCCCAGACGCAGCTCAGAAGTCTGGTTCTGCAGGAAAGAAGCACAGAGTGTTAGACTTGGGGGCTAATGGCACCCCCTCTTTCCTGTCCCCACAAGGTTCCCCCTGGAAACAGCCCCAGTGTGGTAACCAGAGTTGCCTTCAGCTGTACCTGAGGCAAGGCCAACACCATCAGCCCTGACCGCTGCGCCCTTCTTTATATCCACACAATATAAAGCAAAAATTCACTGCACGACCCATCACCTTCTAGTTAAGTTCACCAAGGCAGAGATGAGTGACATGGCATCACCAAATCCCTGTGGATTAACAGCAACGCGTGTCCTCCCTGAATCCTTCACAGGTACGCGTAACAGCCTTTTCAGTTAAAACCAAATCAGCTTTCTATCTCTAACCTTCAAACCCCACTCCGTTACAACACCCTGCTTCCCAGGAAAAGGAACACAGACAGCACGAATATAAAGCAAGGAGCTACAGCATGCAGGAGGGAAGGCACAACATACCCCAGAGGTAATTGCGTGACTTCGGCATGGTGGAATGCGCCACCTCGCAAGAGAAGGTGTCACCCCTTGTGGGGGTGAAGGGCACATAGACCAGGCGCTGGAACTGCCACTTCTCGTTGAAGGACAAGTCCCCGTACTTGACACCGGGAATTGGATCCCCGTTCTTCAGGAGTTTGATGTCAATCTTGGGTGGGTGAAAGCCGGTGACAAAACAGTGGAGGATGTTCTCCTTTCCCTCCTCGGCGCGTGAACGGGCGTAGACTTCCACCTTCGGCGACTCTGAAAAGAGGGGCGAGGGCGAATGAGAAGCGGGACTGCCGTGGGCATCGCCTCCATGCCAACACTCGCCCACCCACCCGCAACAGTAACCCGGAGCCGGCGGGACCCCGCAGCCCCTCAGCCCCGTCAGCACTCACCAGCGGCCGCCCCCAGGCCGAGCAGCGCCAGCAGCGCCAGCAGGCCGAGCGCCAGGGCACCCCGCGCCATCGCCGTCCCGCCGTTTCCCGGAATGCCCCATCCCCGCCCACCCTCCGCCTTTTATACCCTTCGGAATCCTGGCCAATCGTGGCGCGGAGCGGCCTCGCGTCATCAGTTTCCAGGCAGAACGGGAGCGCCGGGGTTGTGCGAGCCAGCAGGGAAGCGCTTTCGCTTTCAGTTCCGCGCTGGGTGCGGGGAGAGACCCGGGCACAGACCCCGGAGCGTCGGGCAAAGCGGCTGGACGGGAGCCCGGGTGGGCAGTGGCACCTGGTCCGGACCAGTCCCGGTATGGCCACACGCCCAGGGCAGCGCCCGTCCCCTGTGCTTTGCCACACCCCAAATCCTGGGGTCAGTTCTGCGCCTTTCACTAGAAGGACGTTGAGCGTGTCCAGGGAAGGGAGCAGAGCTGGGGAAGGGGCTGGAGCACCAGGAGCAGCTGAGGGATCGGGGGGGGGCTCAGCCTGGAGAAAAGGAGGCTCGGGTGGACCTTCTTTTTCTACAACTCCCTGACAGAAGGGGGCAGCCAGCTGGGGTTGTGCTCTGGGGAACAAAGGAGAGGACAAG